CTAGAGGTTGTGAAACCGGAAACCCGACATGGATGCTTCAACCATGGAACCGGATTTTCACTTTGTGACGTGCTATCATCATTGATTAAACACGAATCGCATGCAGAAATGCAAGTGGATGAATGTGATACGATGTGGAGGCCAGGAGGAGCGTAAAGTGACATAATTGATCGGAGAAGGGGACAAGGCAAGCGATTGGCTTTGATACAAATTGTGCGTGTGTGTGTTCTGGGCTAGTTTGAGAGTCGAACAGATCGGACAACCAAGTGACTTGATTGCTGGATCGGTAGTGAGAACTCCGAACTGGAGCTTCCATTCGCCAGTCAAGGATCGGTTCGGAGGTGCCCAGCGTTTTTGCCACCACACTCTATTTGTTCAAGATAATACTGTGGGCCGGAATCGAGGTGGTGAAGTTAATGTGTCCAAACTTCCCCAGCGACGTTGGTTGTGAGCGCGCTGGAAATCTTCGTGGAATGCATCTTCCATGACACGAGAATATGCCTGAAGATGTGAGAAAAGTGGATAAGAGTTACCGAAAACCATAAAATCCAACAGTCGACTGAACAACCAAAATAAAATCAAGATGACACTGCACTTTAAGACTTTAAGGATAGTAAGGGCGATACAGAAAATTACTAATAGCGCCGACCTGAAGAGCGGCAACAACCGCATGCATGTCCGATCACACAGAACGTTTATCCCTTTGATTAGACATTTATAATACAATGGCAGTTAGAAAACTGCCCCCTAGTCGACGTTGTTTAGCTAAGGAGTATTGATTGCATAAAAAGCAATATAAAAATATATTATTGGTTAACATGCGAAATATTTATCTCGAATTTGTTCAGCTAATTACTCCCAAGGATACCAATTTACGATTTGATGTGGTGGATAGGCAAGAATGATTCAAAAATAAATATTTCGCATCCTACGGTTGAGTACCACAAGAACTGGGAATACGGGGCCTAGAGAAACCGCGCGATATAACAGAAAACTGATTGTATTATGAATCTACCTCTGAAGGTGAGATGTAAATCTGACAGCTTAATTCGACTGTGAACTGAACTGGCATTTTTCCCGTCATTTAGGAGGCAAGTACCTCAGTTTGAGGTGACCCGCAGTTCGGGGAACCGGTGAATCCCGACTCTAATGGTGTGACGAAATGCATTTGAACTATAATATAATGTGACTAGGTCATCAGGTTCGAGTCAGTTATTTTTGGGTAAATTATGACCCGAAAAACGATCAAGAAAAAAAGTTAGCTTGGCAACAAATCACTACGTAGGATGTACGATGTAGCTCGAACAGACGAAGTCAACAAATGCACAGGGAATGTTAGTTTACAAAGGCTCTGGAAGAAAGTATTTTGAAACAGGTTATTCTTTCATCTAACAGATACACAGAATCCAGATCCCGTATAGAAATCGTACCGATGTTAGGTCACCTTTTGTGTTTACTAATGAGAAATACCCGTATACAAATCCCGTGGCACACTGAAGTTATAACTTCGAACAGCATCCAGCGACAGCGAGAAACGGTACTCGTATGTAAGTGAGCTGCTTTCGGAAGATGGTAAAGATGTGGAATCGCACACGGTTTGATTAGACAACGCTTGCTTCCTCCAACTAATAAATCGTACCTCTGGAAGTGAAGGCATTGTAGAGCGCTACAATGGCTTTTTAGTTTAAGTACGATAACCATGTTGGCAAGAGGTTATTAAAAAAACCGATCGAACGATCGCATCGTAGTTCGTCACCATAACCAATTTTACCGGAGGCGACGGTGGTGCTCGGTAAAAGTAGACAATAGTATCGGGCATTATCGACCCGAAACCGAGTGGGCACAGATGAGCAAACTTGGAACTATACAGCGAAAGAGCACGAGTGTTAATCGTTTTGCTAGTCACTTCGATACTATCGACTGATAAGCTAAAGCCTATAAATGACTCAAAGGCGTGCCAGATCCATATCATCCTTCGAAAATGAGTTTTGTACCTTTCAAAAATAGTTAGGTAGTCCACTATTGGTTTATACTTATGACCAGTTGTGACTGAACAATTACTATTACAGGTAACTCACATTGGTGGGGAACAGGATAAACAGTTTATTTCACTTCTACAGAGAATCTAACACCTGAGGAGGAAACATAGCTTATTACCTCTTGTTACCTCACTGGTCAGTAACTGCAAACGTACACACATTCAGCAATACAGAGAATTACAAGCAAAAGAGCATTATTCTCATACTATGCAACACAGTGAATCGCCTATCCGATTGAATGAAAAGGCATTATCTGAAATATCCAAGCATTACGGTACATAAAATACCACTTGAAATAACATGCTAAAGGCGGAACACATACTCGACATTCTGATGTGTTTACTTAAACGCAACTAGTAGCCTCATTCATGTAAACTATCAATCAAAGCAAGACGAAAAAGTCATCAAGTGTCTATCAACACAGGTGCCGAACACTGGGACAATACATCAAAAACAGTAAATATACCCAAATAAACAATTATAAGTATAAAGAGAGAATCATAATGTAAGTACTAGATGGTACAGTGGTTTAGTCGCTGTCGTCACCGTGCTTTGGAAACTATAGTTTGAGGTTCGAACGCCGCCAGCGCCAGCCAACTGTGATAGTAGACAGCTTTACAAACGTCCGGTTCACTACCACGCCTAAACTAGAGAAGTCTTCTATGTTTCGCCACTCCAAGTCCCGGAATTTAGATTACCGGTTTACAGTAACGAATAGCAGGTCCTCATGATCATGGGGTTTACCTCGTCTACTGTTCATCACACTAAAAAGTGTGTAGTAAAAAAATAAAAAAAGACAGAATTGCTGACAAACTTACCTCAAGTTTGTGCGCCCTCTCCATCGATAACGGGAATGGATGACACGATGCGCCGCATAAGGATCGGATATCGAAGTAGTACTTCGCGTACACTGAACTCGGTACATTAATGTTGAACTGAATGATCTCTAAAAACTGACGTTCCAACTCATTTCTGAGGTGGTTGGATTGTGCAGGGTGGAAAGAAGCGGGAGTATGGCTCTTAGTATGCAATCAAATGTATGTTTTAAGTAGGGTGTGAAACAACAGCGAGAAAAACAGCCCATTCACAAAAGTTGTCTAGAAATGAGTAGATAGCCAGAAACCGAACGACCCTATGTGGCGCAATACGGTGTGAATTGCCACTCCTGACACGGGTATCTGAAATGACCACTGACAAAATGAGGGGTAATTATTGGAAGGAAGTGGAAATAAAAAACACTGATATGCCTAAGCAAGTCGATTAACTATGAAAATTATAGCCCGTGTATGACTCCGGAAATGTCTGTGTGTGTGTGTGACGGTTCTGGTATTGTACGGAAACGCGATAGAGCAGTATTAAACTCAATGAAAAATGATAAAACTTGCACACGAACAATGAAGCCAAGTTCACGTTCTCATAATACGTTTTTCATTGATGTTGATTCACTTTTTACAAATGTTCCTAATCCACGAAACAGTAGACTTTTTATGTGATTTTATCTCTTCAATGAATTTTCACCTTCCTAGTCTGCTTGATAATTTAAAAGAGCCTATCACTGTTTGTAATGAGAACATACGTTTTCAAATTGAAGGAACAGCTCACAAACAAATTGACGGTGTAGCAATGAGCAGTCCCCTAGGCCTAACATTAGCCGATGTATTTCTAGGAATGGCTGACAGAAGATTGAACGATAATATTTCAATGGCTGTTTTGTACAGATGTTATGTTGATGATATTTCGATTTTTACCGACTCTGATCACCTTAACACGATTTTAACACTATTTGATACTATTCATCCCAATCTCTCTGTTTCCCTTGAGGAGGAAGAGGATGGTTGTTTGAATTCTTTAGATATAAAAATCAGGAGGTGATCGGATGGAACCTTGCAGCAGTGATCCATCTACCGGAAGACTACATGGAGTGGACAATACGTACTATTTGCCAGACTCGCTCCTGTGACTCATAAAACAGGTCTGGTGAGGATTCTGTTCCATCGTATCAGGAATTTATGCTCCCCTAACTCTGTCCAAGAAGCAGAGTGCTTTCTGCGAATGACGCTACTGGATAACGGCTATCCAGAGAAATGTATTGATGTGCATAGCAGACGAAACACATCGGTTGATCTCGCCTGCGAAGTACCGAAGAAGAGCGTCTTCCTCAGATTCGCCTTTAAAGGTGATCATATAATGAACGACGTGCGTCAAAAGCTCAAGGCGGCGACTGTGTCGAACGTTTCCTGCCGCACAACTTCGATTGATATCGTATACCCAAGGACTTCGTTTAGACAATCGAAAACAGAACCAGCCGAACAATTCTGCTTCACATATCGTCTACCAGTTCACCTGCAGTTGCGGTGACACTTAAATCGACAGAGCGAAGCGGCCCCTGACA